TATATATATATATAATATTTAGATTTTTTTTTAATGTGTATAATAGTTTGATATTTTGTTATCTAGATCAAACACATTTATACATTCTAGGTGTACATAAAAAAAATACAAATAAAAAAAAACATCGGGACACTTGTGTTTTACAAAGCTGGAAGGATTCATTTGTATGTACGATTACAGGACATGACTATGGAGTATGCCACTGCCACAAACCCCACAGCTATTACTCCAGAGGAGTACTTTAACCCCAACTTTGACCTGCAGGGCAGAGACATCGGTCGGCCCATTGAGCTCACCATCAGAACACAGAAGTAAGGCTGGCCATTCACTCAACCTCACTACAATTATTTTTAAATAAGTAAATAATATATTACACACATGTAATTGAAGAAATGGTTCAGTTTTTGTGTTTCGACCCCCTCTCAGGTTTAAAGGCACCCTGTGGATGAGCGAGGAGCATCCTCTGTCTCTGGTGGAGCAGGTCACTCCCATCATTGACCTGATGGCTCGCACCAGCACTCACTTTGCCCGACTCAGGGACTTCATCAACCTCAGGTTTCCCCCTGGCTTCCCAGTGAAGATCGGTGAGTGAGAGGAACAACCAGCCCTACTACTCAGTTCTCAAATGAAACCCTGTTCAGCATTTGTAAGTTAATGCATCAGATTGAATATTAACTTCTCTAACCTGCAACAAAACTGCAAGTACACTATTAAAATTCAACTAAATGTTTGCAAATTGTGTATGGAAGAGAGTTTAGCATTAACTAATCTAGCTGTCCTGCTCACAAGTTTCTCAAGACTGCTTTTGTGTTTCAAGTCTGTGGACTTTAAGGAAAACTTAATAAAACTTACATTTGGTAGAAGGGACATATTCCCTTAGTTTATCACCTTGTCCAAAAACTCTAGAGAACCTAAGTCCAGTATAGCAAGGCAGGGAAGACTGATACTGATTTTGTATATTTCTTGGCCCCCCCCCTTCCATTAAACATATTTTATTGCACTGTCCCAATGTTAATGCAAGTAGAAAACTTTTATGGATTACGCTCACTCCGGGGACTTGTTTAGTAAGATTTTACCTGAAAAGATTTTAGATTTTTTTATCATATGTTCATTTAAAATATATATATATATATATATATAATTTAATCTGCTGTTTTTTTGTCTGTGTTAATTTGGTTTTATTTTGTGTTTGTTTTTTGTTTATTCCAACTCCATGAAGAAAGCCTAAGATGCTGACATGGCAATAAAAATAAACAACTAACCAATCTTGTGAATGGCTTTAATATAAGCCAGAGCATGCCGCTAACTAGATCATGGGTTTTGATTCTGTTTCTGTTTCTTCAGAAATCCCTCTGTTCCATGTGTTGAATGCCCGCATCACATTTGGAAACGTCAACAAGTGCAGTACAGATGAACCTTTGGACTCCAACCAATCAGCTTCTACACCCACACCTACAGAAGAGAAGTGTGACAGCCAGGCTTCAGGTTTGGAAATGTATTGATTCCTCGTCTGTTCCAGAATAAAAACGCACAGAAGACCTGTTAGCTGTCACAAACTCTGCCCTTAATTCATAGTTGGAATGAGTTATTGGTTTGTTGATCCAGCAGGGAAATGTTCTAATATGAATGTTGAATGCAGTATGTTTCACTTCCTGCTCCTGCAGGACCTGCTCCATTCAAGGTGTGTCCATCTGTGTTCGTGGCACCTTCGCACTATCACCACCGAGGGGGCTACCGCCACTCCAACACACGCCGTTACAACCCAGCCAGTCATGATGAAGAGCTGCTCCAGTACGCCATTCACCAGAGTCTGCTCGAGTCCAGTGCACTCAATTCACAGGTCAGAGAACTTCCTGGTAGTGCATTCTGTGCATTTCTTGAAGATGTCTGTCTCTAATATGCAGTCTGGCTGGCTGTTTTGTTTTAGGACACTTGGAGTGATTCTGATGGACAGGCAACACAATCCATGATGAATCGGTTGAGCGATGGGTACCTTTCATGTTTCCATAATAATTTGTCCAGGGGCACATTTTTTTTTTTAAAGAAAGTAATATTTTTGTGATACTTTTCAATAGAGTGATGGTGAGGAAATTTTCCCACTGGTTAATCGACGTGTGACAACACGGATAATACCGGTATCACCGCGGGGGCGGGGGCGTTCCCTCTTTTCCTCGCTTTCCTTCGCTTTTAAATAGCTTGTAAAAGCGGCGTGCCATTTTACTTTCACTTTCAAATAGCGGCAATTCGGCGTAAAGCAATTGTTCGTTTTAATTTTCCATCTTTTCCTCGCTTTCCTTCGCTTTTAAATAGCTTAAAAGCGCCGTGCTCATTTTACTTTCACTTTCGAATTAGCGGCAATTCTGCGTCAATTGCTTGAATGCAACAACAAAATACAACGTCAAACTCACTTTAGCCTATATATAAAACATAGAACTTTTATTAACAAAACGAATAAAAATACACCATGCTATAGGGCAGGCTATGCCTAATATAAAATAACAAATAACTTACATAAAGTTTAAATAG